TATATATATATATAATTTTTATTTTCTATGAGATTCAGGTTCCTTACCTTAAAAAAAAGCAAGAATTATGGACTTAATCTCACGAACCTATACAATGCTACTATATTTTTTAGCTGATATAATTCAAATTTATTTTTTTCAAGAATGAAAATAGAAGTAGTATGGCTACAGAATGAAAAATCTAAGTAGAATGAAAAAAAATCATGAGACCAAGTCAATGGAGAAAGTGAAATCAATACAAAATCTATTAGTATCAAATCAATATGCTACTTTACACACATGGCTTTGAAGTTAGCTTTGGATTTGTAGTTCAGAACATATATATCATTTATAATATATATCCTGATTTTTAATACATATCAGACATATATATTATAAATAAATCCAAGAATATACACACATATATACTATATAACAAATCTGTATATTATGAAGGGTGGGAAGAAGGGATGGAGGAAGGCTGTTATAAGCTGTAATTGGATTAGGAAACAAAGCAAATTTTTAGCCTTCATTCCAGGATTCTCCAACTAGTCATCTCTGATAGAACATGACCCATTAATAAGAAGAACTACTCCTTGGTTCATGCATGCTCCAATGTTACTCCTCCAACAAATGTCTCCCGTGTACACAGGCACATAGACCCTCACGCTCGGCACACTCGGGCAACAGCTCCTAATTCTCCTTCAGCATTAATTTCAAGAGCTGCTATACTGTTCAAGCCCATCTTCCAAACAAATTTAACCTTCATGTGTGTATGATTTAGCCTCATAGCTTTTCCTACTAAAGGGAAAATATTTTATAACACATTGCTTTTAATTAATACCCAGTATGAAATGTGACTTTACATGAAATGTTTAAAACATTTCCGGGCACACCTTAATCCTTTTTCTGATTGAAGAGTCTTATACAAATCAGCTGCCATTTATCAATTCAATAGAGCTGAAACCCACAACTCAACACTTCATTGTTTACAGGAGCAGCTCCTGTGGTTGGCATGACATCACAAAAGCACTGTGGAATTCCAAATACCCAACTCTTGGGATGAAAACACAGTAATTCTATGAAGTTTTTTTGTTCTAATTTAAGAGAATGGTTCTGTAATGACTCACACTTCTCTAGATTCATCAGAGTAACAGTTTGCCTAGCATTTTATATACCTATCTTTTTTATTATTCTCCTGAGGAAAGAGCAAATTTAAGGTTGCTTTGTGGACCCTGTCTTGAAATTCTGGTTACTACAATTTAGTTTCAATGACTTAAACATTAAAAAGGTTTAAAAAAAATTTTAAGGAAATAGAAAAGACATTCTTCTTTAGTGTATTAAGCATTAAGCATGTTCTGGGTTCTAAGCAATGTTCCAGGGCCGAGCAGTGGGGATTGAAGAGATTTAGCAGGATTTGTCCATGCATTTTCTGACCCTCAGATGTCACTGCTTCTTACCCTGCACTGACACCTGGATGAGATGGCTGCAGCTACCAACAGTTTGACCCATCACTGGCCCCTGGACATTCTCTGTTGGGCGATGTGAGAGCTTTCTGTGACTTGCCTGTGGCAGGACAACGCATTCGAAGCAGGGAGTGAGTGATGAAGCAAAGATGCTCACCCCACGGTGGCCAGGAAGAGAGAGAAAGGGAGGAGCCAAGGTCCCAGTATCCCTTCAGAGGGCAGGTCCCTCCTACATGACCAACTGACTTCCACTAGCCTCTACCTCTTAAGCTTTCTGCCATCTCCCAATAGTGCCACAGGCCTGCAACCACTCCTTGATCACATGGACCTCTGGAGGACCCTTAATGGGCTGGGGATAGAGCTCAGTTGATAAAGCATTTGTCTCCCATGACATGGCCCTGGGTTCAACCCCAGCAATATAGAGAGAAAGAGAGAGAGAGAAGATTCAAACCATAACAAGCTACTGTATCTATACATGGGAACAAGTTCTACCTGAGAGGGGGAAGGTGACACAACCAGGGCCTACACCAAAGAGAAGTGAGTGCGGAAAACCCCACGACAGACAGAAGATTCACATTTCCTTCCATTTGCCTGTTGTCCCTGCACCATTCCACAAACATGAAAATATATCCCAGTGGGGATGGGGGCGGGGAGTGAGGACTTATTAATAAACTTCAAATTATAAAATAAGAATTTAAAAAGGCAGGATAAAAAAAGCAAAAAAACCTTGCAAATATATTGGCCAGAACATTGATGCCATAACAGAGTCATGTTTGGTCCTGGCAAACCAGGACATAATCAGAAATATCATGTTCTTTACTCATGTTTTTTTTTTGTCTGAGGTTCTTGAAATTTTAGTGAATAAAGAAAGGTGTAAATATAATTTTAAAATAATTTGTAATCCCATGACAAAAGCATTCATAACTGTAAAAAAAAAATCATAACTGTTAAACTTTAGATGTGCTTCTCTGTCTTCCTCCGTCTTCCCCTCCCTGTCTCACTGTGAATAGGTTCTACTGTGTTCTTTCTCCCACGTCATTAACAACTCTGTGCAAACATAATTTGTTCTGGTCTTACATGGACATATCATAATTTTTCTAAACTTCTCATTATTATTGGACATTTTTGATTACCTATAATATTTTGCTATTATGATAAACCGATGATGAATAACATTATATTTTTTTACTCATTTCTCATAATTTTCTCAAGATATATTCTTATAAGTCAAATTACCAGGCCCAATGCTAGAAATTTCTTTATAGTTTTAACAACTATCATAAAACCATTTTCTAGAAGGTCAGTACCCTTTTCCATTCTTTTTTTATTAATTTTTAAATTAGTATACATGACAGCAGAATGCATTTATGCACTTTGATATAGCATACACAGATGGGATATAATTTCTCATTTTTTCTGAGTGTACATTGCAGAATCATATTGGTCATGCAGTCATATATATATATATATATATTAATAATGTCGGTTTCATTCTATTATCTTTCCTATCCCTTCATCCCCTCCCCTCGCCTTTCTTCACTTCCCTACACCTAATCTAATGTAACACTATTTTCTTTCTAGTGGCCCCCGCCTTATTGTGAATTAGAATTTACATATTAGAGAAAACATTTGGCCTTTGGTTTTTTGGAATTGGCTTATTTCACTTAGCATGATATTCTCCAACTCCATCCATTTACTGGCAAATGCCATAATTTCATTCTTCTTTAAAGCTGAGTAAGATTCCACTGTGTTTGTATACCACAGTTTCTTTATCCATTCATCTATTCAAGGATATCTAGATTGGTTCCATAGTTTAGTTATTGTGAATTGAGCTGCTATAAACATTGAAGTGGCTGTATTCATGTAATATGCTGATTTTAAGTCTTTTGGGTATAAACCAAGAAGTGGGATAACTGGGTCAAATGGTGGTTTCATTCCAAGTTTTCTGAGGAATTTCCATACTGCTTTCCATAGTGGTTGTACCAATTTGCAGTCCCACAAGTAATGTATGAGTGTACCTTTTTCCTCACAACTTCACCAACATTTATTGTTGCCTGTATTCTTGATGATTGCCATTCTGATTGGAATGAGATGAAATCTTAGAGTAGTTTTAATTTGCATTTCTCTAATTTCTAGAGATGTTGAACACTTTTTCATTATTTGTTGGTCAATTGTATTTCTTCTTCTGTAAAGTGTCTGCTTAGTTCCTTAGACCATTTATTGATTAGGTTATTTGTGGGGTTTTGTTTGTTTGTTTTTGGTGTTTTTTGAGTTCTTTATATATCTTACAGATTAATGCTTTGTCAGAGGTACATGTGGTAAAGACTTTCTCTGTCTGTAGGCTCTCTCCTCACACTATTTATTGTTTCCTTTGCTGAGAAGAAGCTTTTTAATTTGAATCCATCCCATTTATTGATTCTTGATTTTACTTCTTGCACTTTAGGAGTCTTGTTAAGGAAGTCAGATCCTAGGCTGACATGATGAAAATCTAGGTCTATTTTTTCTTCTATGAGGCAAAGGGTCTCTGTTCTAGGGTCTAAATCTTTGATCCACTTTGAGTTGATTTTTGTGCAGGGTGAGAGACAGAGGTTTAATTTCATTTTGATACATATGGGTTTCTAGTTTTGCCAGCACCATTTGTTGAATAGTTTATCTTTTTTTCAATGAATGTTTTCGGCATCTTTGGCTAGTATGACATAACCATATTTATATAGGTTTGTCTCTGTCTTCTATTTTGTAGCATTGGTCTACAAGTCTATTTTGGTGTCAGTACCATGCCAGTTTTGTTACTGTAGCTCTGTAGTATAGTTTAAGGTCTGGTATTGTGATGCCTCCAGATTCACTGTTCTTGCTAAGGATTGCTTTGGCTATTCTGGGTCTCTTATTTTTCTAAATAAATGTTATGATTGCCTTTTCTATTTCTATTAAGAATGTCATTGGGATTTTAATAGGAATTGCATTAAATCTGTATAATGTTTCTGGCAATAATGCCATTTCAACAATATTAA